TGCGTAAGGAGGGAAAAGCTCCCTATCATTGGCACTAATCTCCATTTAAATCCAAGTGCTTATTCATGCATTAGTCATTTATTATGCCTGCCATAAGACAAATTGTAATATTTTTGCTTGTTCAGCTGACCTGCTGTGTGCTGCCTGAACAAATTGAAGTTGTGCTGAAAGTTTATTGGAAGTAATTTAAATGGTTGTCTGCCAGAGATGAAAACAAAGTGTTGCCCTTTTCTTGCTCTCAGATACAATAAATGTCTAACTATATAACACAGTACTTCTAAACCTTACTCCAAACAACGTTGGTCTTAAATGAGTGAGAAACAACATGAAGAAAGTACGCAAAACATTTTAGAACATTTTTTAAAAATGAATCCCAGCGCACATTATGTAGACAACAAAACAAATGATGATGCTTCCCTGACCTGTTATTGGGTTCTTGCAGCCATGGCACTTCTTGGCCACATCAGTCTTGTAGCAGTCCACGCAGTAAATGTTGTCCTCATGAGAAGTGAAGCGAGTTCCTGCCAGAGATTTATGGCAGGTTTTGCACACGAAACACTCAGAGTGCCATGGCTGGTCCTGGTAGCTGATCCCTCCAGAGGTGATGGGCTTGGAAAGGCAGATATTTTGATTGTGATGTCAAACACAACGGGATGATAACTAAATGTAGAGAATGATAAAGTCTGTGCTTGTACCTGCTTGCAGTGGAAGCATTTCTTGGCAAACTTCTTTTCGTGGCAGGGAGAACAGTAGATGTCCTCACCCTTGGCCAGGAAACTCTGTGTGCGGATTGGCTGCTTGCACTCAATGCAGGTGAAGCATTCCTCATGCCACACCTTGTTCTTGTACTCCACGTTCTGAGATCCTGAATATAAGATGATTGAAAACAAATTATCTGGGCTGAAAATTTGCTTAGTCTATAACGAGGAGGGACATTATGTATATATATATATATCAGTGCCCTGTCTGATATTATCATATGTACTATCATTACTATCAAGGTTCATGCTACCTTGTTGTATCTGAGGGAATTTTTAAAATGAAAGAATTCATTACATCCTATAACTTTTGCCGTGTTTATTAAAGTGTTGTTGTTGTATGTGCAAAATAATGTTCTATAGAAAATTATTACCCACAGAAATAATGTCATGAAAACTTTTCAGAGAGAAAAGGTGTGTATATGGTGCAAACCCACCTGGCATGACCACCTTGTAGCAGCCCTGGCAGCGATTGCCGTCCTCTCGGGAGCCACACTTGCCACACATTATCTTCCCATCATCCCGAGCGCTGAATGCCTCACTGGCCAGTGACTTGTAACACTTGGCACAGCGGAAACAGTCCTCATGCCAGTAGCGGTTCTTGTGGTGCAGCTCCTGAGGGGGAAAAGCAGGGGTGGGGAGGTGAGCAGAGGTGCCCTCACTAAGTCCTGATGCAGACCTCATTAAAATGGAGTTTGTTTACTCATCATGTGGACTGAGGCTC